CAAGAAAAAGCTAGAGGAGTTGATTACCAATAAACCAGTATTATAAGAAATGTTAAAGCATTTTCTTAAAGGTGAAGAAAAAGAAAAAGAATGAGAAGGAAGCAGAAGAAGGAGGAGGCAGAGGAGAAGGAGGAGGAGGAAGAGGAAGAGGAGGAAGAAGAGGAGATTACAGAGAATGAAATGGCAATAAATTTGTAAGTATCAATAAATCACTTTAAATATAAGTGGCTTAAATACCCCAATCAAAATACATAGGGTAGTTGAAAACTACCTTGATATTTACAGAATACTTCATCCCAGAACAGCAGAATATACATTCTTCTCAAGTACACATGAAATATTCTCAAAGATAGCCTACCTCAAGAAACAAGAACAATCTCAAATAAATAATCTAACCATCCACTTAAAGGAATTAGAAAAGAAGCAACAAAAAAAGCCCAGAGTAAACTGAAGGAAGGAAATAATAAAGATCTCAGTGCATATAAATGACATAGAAACTAAAAAAACAATACAAAAGATCAATGAAACCAAGAACTGGTTCTTTGACACAATGAAAAAGATTGACAGACCTTTAACCAGAGTGACCATGAAAAAAAGAGGATGCAATAAATAAGATCATAAATGAAAGAGGAGGAGTAACAATTACAAAAGATTATAGGAAAATAATATGAACAACTATATGCCAACAATTGAATAACAAATTGAAATGGATAAATTCCTAGGAAATACAATCTTCCAAAATTGAATCAGGAGAATCAGAAAATCTGAATAGATGATTGCAACTAATAAAGTTGAAGCAGCAATGAAAAAACTCCCAACAAACAAAAGCCCTGGTAAAATTCATAGGTGAATTTTACCAACCATTTAAAGAACTAACACCTATCCTTCTTCAAACTATTTAAAAAAATTCAAGAGGAGAGAAGACTTCCAAGCACTTTTAAAGAGACCCGCATTATCCTAATTCTAAAACCAGATAAAGACACTACAAAGAAATAAAACTATAGACCAATATCCCTGATGAACATAGATGCTAAAATCTCAACAAAATATTAGCAAATGAAATCCAGCAATACATCAAAGAGATCATGCACCATGATCCAGTAAGATTATTCCAGGATGATGGTTGGTACAATATTAGCAAATCAATAAATGTGATATACTACATAAACAAAATGAAGAATAAAAATCATGTGATTATATCAATACATGCAGAAAAAAAATTTGATAAAACCCAGAACCCATTTATGATAAAAACTCTCTGCAATGTGGTAATAGAGGGATCATACCACAACTTAATAAAGGCCACATATGACAAAACCATACCCAACATACTCAATGGGCAGAAACTAAAGCATTTTCCTTCATATCAAGAACAAGACACGATCTCTGCTTTCACCACTCACATTCAACATAAGTTCTAGCCACAGGGATCATACAGGATGAAGAAATAAAAGGCATCCATCCAAATAGGATAGAAGAAAGTAAAACTCATTGTTTGCAGATAACATGGTATAGTACATAGAAAACCCTAAACACTCCATCAAATAATTACTTGATATATAATAAATGAATTTGGCAAAGTAGCAGGAAATCAGTAGCATTCTTATACCCCAATAATGAACTCTCAGGAAGAGAAATTAGAAATAATCCCATTTACTGTTACAACAAAAAACATAATAACCTGTACTTTGAAAACTATAGTACATTGAAGAAAGAAATTGAGTGGAAGCATTTACTGTGTTCATGGATTGGAAAAATTAACATTATTAAAATGTCCATACTACCCAAAGGAATCTATAGATTCAACTAAATTCCTATTAAAATACCAATGGCATATTTTAAAGATCCAGAAAAAATATTCTAAAACTTTATATGGGACAAAGCAGACCCCAACACAGCCTCAGAAATCTTGAGAAAGAACAAAGTTGGACATATCGCAATACTTGATATCAAACTATACTACAATGCCATTGTAATTTTTTAAAAAGAAGCCTTGTTCTGGCAAAGAACAGGCATATAGATCAATAGAACAAAACAGACGGCCCAGAAATCAATCCACATCTCTGTGGTCAATTAATATTTGACAAAGAAGACAAAAGCATAAGATGGAGTAAAGACAGTCTCTTCAATAAATGGTGTTGAGAAAATTAGACAGATACATGCAAAAAAAAAATTTAAACTAGACCTCTACTTATACCATACACAAGAGTGAACTTAAATGGATAAAAGACTTAAATGTAAGTCATGAAACCATAAAAATCCTAGAAGAAAATATAGGCAGTAAAATTTCAGATATGCCAAGGTTGTGGGTTTGATCCACAATGAATACATAAATAAGTAGAACAACAAATTGTTGTCTCTCTGTGTGTGTGTGTGTGTCACTCTCTCTCTCTCTACCTCTCTCTCTAAAAATTCAATAAAAATTTAATACAAATGGATGTAGAAATAAAAAGAAAATCAGATTTTAAAAATAAAATTTATGTAAACAGATAAAATAGAAATCTTTCACTTTGGAATATTTATATAAAACTAATAGTCAAAATACTTTCTTTTTATGTGAACATAACTAATCATGTTTCAATAGCACTATTCCTGACAGACTGTTACTGAGTTTCCTTACATCCTCAAATAGTCACTGTATATATTGCTATATGGTCCCCAGAGAATGGACCCTTAAACCACTCACTCTTCTAGAGATCGATCCAGGCCTCGGTCAGGAGATCGGTGGTGAGCACGTTCCGGTGAATGACATTTTGTAATTGGCTTTATTGTAGAATTCAAATAATAAGCATTACTTGAGTAGTTCTGGCGGCGAAGTTCTTGCACAGCCCTCTCCCTAATGCAAAAAAGTTTAAAACAGAACTTCTTAAATTTTATATCCAATGGCATTATTAATCCAGTAAAACTGAAGTTCAATTTACACTTTAAAACCTAGCCATCATGGAATAACCAGAATCTGTTGTTATCTAAGAAAGAATGCTCCCAGGCTAAATACTGGATAGAGATCAACTTACCTTTCAAAGCGCTCGGTCCCTAGCTGTCTTTTGGTAATGTCTAAATCAGCTTCCAGTTGTGTGACGACATTCCTGAACTGGGCCACATCTCTACTCTGGATGGCCCTGTGTAAAAGAATGTAAGGGAGAGAGTTGATTAGACTTTTAAACGTCTAGAACTTCTGAACCATGTTGGCAATGTTCTCAGCTGGATCCAAGCCAAACTGTGTTTTT